ACGTCATTGTTCGGTACAATTTATTTGGTCTTTTCGCTTATTCGGTTTCGGTTGCCGAACATTCGGTGCATCCCTACTAAAAAATGCTCACTTCACATGCGATAAGCGTAATTAATGGATGTTGGATCTGATTGGATTGCAGCTCCTGGAGCTGTTCGACAGCGAAGACCCTCGAGAGCGTGACTTTCTGAAGACGACTCTCCACCGCATCTACGGGAAGTTCCTGGGTCTCAGAGCGTACATCAGGAAACAGATTAATAACATTTTCTATAGGTGAGACTGAAAACTATGACAGAAGATTTGCAATGCATTCAACTTTCACAACTGAGTGAAACTGCATATAACCTATAACTGCATGTGATGACCTTTGATTTGATTTGGAAAATAGTGAAAAACATGCCATTGAAGCATATTGATTTTTTTTTTTAACAATTTTATTTTTGCATTGAAATGTAAATACTTTTTTTACATTTGTTATATTATTTTTTACAATTTAATACCTTTTAAATATAATATAGTTGGATATAATGCAACATTTGTTTATATATATGTATATATATGTGTGTGTGTGTGTGTGTTGACTTTAAATGGTTTTTTAAATTGTCAGTCTTCAGTTCAGAATATCAAAAATACAGTAAAAATGTGAAATAATATTACAATTTAAAACAGCTGTTTTCTATGTGAATATCTGTTAAACTGTAATGTATTTCTGTGATGCGCAGCTGTATTTTCAGCATCATTACTCCAGTCTTCAGTGTCACATGATCTTCAGAAATCAGTATAATATTCTGATTTGCTGCTCAAGAAACATTTCTGATTATCAATGTTGAAAATGCTGAGAAGACTTTTACAGATCAAAATTAAATTAATCAAAATATTAATATTAAATTGATATAATGTTACTAAAGATTTCTATTTCAAATAAATGCTGTTCTTTTGAACTTTCTGTTCATCTGTGAATCCTGAAAAATAAAATGTATCACGGTTTCCACAAAAATATTAATGTTTTCAACATTGATAATAATCACTGAAGACTGCAGTAATGATGCTGAAAATTCAGCTTTGATCACAGAAATAAATTACAGTTTAACAGATATTCACATAGAAAACAGATTTTAAATTATAATAATATTTCACAATTTGTACTGTATTTTAATCAAATAAATGCAGCCCTGGTGAGAATAAGAGACTTTCAAAAACATATATATATGGCGACTTTAAATGGTTCTTGTCATAATTATCAGTCTTCAGTTCAGAATATGTGTTTTATCTGTGTACAGGTTCATCTATGAAACAGAGCATCATAACGGAATAGCCGAACTACTGGAAATATTAGGAAGGTATGAAACCATGTTAATAAAATCTGTTTATTTCTCTCAAATCCGAGCAACATTTGAATAAATTAATTTGATACTGTATGACGAATCGCTTTTGCTTAGCGAAATGGCATTGTAATAATTCTTTGATGTATTGTGATGACATTATTGGTGCCTTTCATCATGTTTTATATGAGTACTCTCGTTAACAGTTACAGTGTGTGTTAGGCTCGTTTACTCTGCTGCTGAGCTTCCCGTGTTCATATGCTCTAATGAGCTTAAAGCCTCAGTCATGACGTCTCTGTAACGATTCTCTTTTCCTCCAGCATCATTAACGGCTTCGCCTTACCGCTGAAAGAAGAGCACAAAATCTTCCTTTTAAAAGTTTTGTTACCTTTGCATAAAGTCAAGTCCCTCAGTGTTTATCACCCACAGGTACGATCTGGAGTTTATATCGAAATGATTCATATGCATGCGTCACAATGTGTCGAAAAAGTTATTTTTTATGTTTTATTAAGAACTTAAGACACTTTGTTTGTTTCATGCTAATTAAGCACATATATATATATACACATACAAAATATATATAACAAAAGAAATGTACAACAGTGATTTTATATCCATAGAAAGCACATTAAATGTAAGTTAAAGTGTCTACTTTTAAGGTTTCAAATAAGTTTTTGAAGAATAAAATGTTACAATTTGGTTGAAATAATGTTACATTATCATTCAGTGTAACACTTATATTTATGTAAAAATTCAAACAACATGCTTATTCTGACTTGTTTATATTAAAATATATAAAAGAATAAGAGAGCATATTACATTTTATTGTGTTTTAAATGAGTAAAACATTCTTACTGACAAATGGGCAAAATCTAGGATAGTGGCAAATTTTAAATATTTAAAAATTACAACTAATTAGTATTTGGGGTGATAGGATAGTGAAATATTTAAAAATTACAACTAATTAGTATTTGGGGTGAAAGTAATTAGTATTTTAAAAT